CTCTGGAGCTGAACTCAGTACTCTGGAGCAGACCTTGGTGCTCTGGAGCTGAACTCAGTGCTCTGGAGCTGAACTCAGTGCTCGGGAGCTGCTCTAGAGTTGAACGCGGTGCTCTGGAGCTGAACTCAGTGCTCTGGAGCTGCTCTAGAGTTGAACGCGGTGCTCTGCCACCGCGACTCGGATGCCGAGGCGCATCCCCTGCAGAAAGGCTCGCTGCTTCTCTCTGCTGGGCTGACCGAGGCGCTGCTGCAGCTCAGCCCGAGTTCCATCCCCGCCGCTCTCTAAAGCGCTTTTCCCGTGTCAGGCTGTCCCCCTGGTTTCCACGGAGCGGGCTGCCGGGAGCGCTGTGACTGCGAGCACGGAGCCGGTTGTGACCCCGTCACCGGGCGCTGCCGCTGTCCCCCCGGGCTGCGGGGCGAGCGCTGTCACACAGGTACCGCCCATCCTCTGTCCCCTCCGGGTGTCCCGAGGGCCGGGCAGGCGGTGCAGGAGCTGTATCCCTCCTCTCTCACAGGCTGCAAGGAAGGCACGTTCGGCGAGGGCTGCGAGCGGCTCTGTGACTGTCCCAGCGGTGTCCCCTGCGACCCGGCCACGGGGCGCTGCCTGTGCCCCCCGGGAAAAACCGGCCCCAARTGTGCTGCAGGTGAGGGGAGCCCCAGCTGGGCGGGGGGAAGGGGACCCAGGGAGATGGAAGGGGTTTTTTTTCGCAGTTTGTGTCCCCTCAGACAGCAMGGGGGATGTGGGCAGCGGCGCTCACCTCCCCGGCCCGTTTGTAGTCAGAACTGAAAGCAAATCCTCCCCCAGCCTTCACAACCCCGGGTTCGGACTGACAGTGTCAAAAGCTGAGCATCAAAGGCTGAAGGAACATCCCGGTGTCCTGGGGATGCTCTGATGTCCTGTGTCAGCACAGCAGAAAGCTCTCTGCCCTGTCCTGCACTCAGCAAAAGCTTTAAACGCAGCGTCCTGGGAGAGCATCCTGAGCATTCCCGCTTGGCTGTTGCCGTGGG